GCCAGATCCAGCATGCCAAGCTCGGGGCTGCCCCACTCCTGCAGCAGGAAGCCAGCACTGGCACTCCAACCACGCTGGGGTAGGAGGAGAGGATGGGATAGCAGGGCTGGAGCACCACTGCAAGCTTCCCACTGCAGGGTTAAGGAGCCTGAGCCCGTGGTCCACCTGCAAGATGGTCATGGACCACTAGTGGTATGCGGACCGCACTTTGAGAACCACTACCCCAAACCCAGAAAAATCAAAGGAAATTCAATGCTTCAAAATGAGCATATTGTTTCAGTCTATATTTTCTTGACAAGACAAACATGTTGAAAATGAAAAGAAATGTATTTTATCCTTTCTCTTTCAAAAGAAAATATCCTTGCAGAAGATCAATTTATGTTACCTCAAAGTAAGCAATCAATTTGAGGTAGGGTTGGGATAGTCTCCTAGTTCCTAATGCTTTTTCAAGTTTGCTATCATTTAAATAAAAGGGGATTTCACAAACTCGGTTAGAGTATAAAAAAAACTTATTGAAAAGCCCATCACAAAAATCTTTCTTCCACTAATTAACAACTAAAGTACAGATAATTTTGAGTGAGGAGTGCCTCCCCTCTCCCACTAAACTGTCTGACGCTAGTGTAGTTATAACCCAAAAGGTAACAAAGAACTTAAGGCAGGTCTGTCCAAACATTCAGCAACTTTTGCCTGCAGTTTTCCCATGTAAACAGCATTCAATTCTAAGAGATATGAATTATATGAACTTAAAAAAGGAAGTTGTGAAAACTTAGTTTGTTTTTAAAAATGTTACTTAAAGGCCATAAAAGGAACAATAGCACAAGGCTTAATTAGTAAGTCCTAATTTTATCCCTGAATACGCAATCTATATCTGGGATTGGCAAAAGCCTCTCAGTAGGCCGAATCCAGCCTGCCTCAGGCTTTGATCCGGCCCTTGCAGCAGCTCCAGACTCTGCCCCTTTGTGTGTTGTCTAGGAGCTGGAGACATGCGAGCCTTTTTAACTGTTTCTATTTAAAGGGCTTATGCCTTCCCCGCAGCTGCCAGGCAACACATTGTCTCCGATGGGTGCAGGGAATGTGCAAGCCCCTTAAATAGAAGCAGTTAAAAGGGCTCACAAGTCCTGGCTCCCTAGCAATGCGCTAGCAGGCACTGGGAGAAGTGAGCCCTTTTAACTTTTTCTATTTAAAGCGCTTGTGACCAGGACCGGACTGAGGGGTGGGCGAGCCAGGCAGTTGCCCGGGGCGCCCACCGATGGGGGGCGCCTGATGGCAGCAGTAAGGGGCACGCGGCGTCCCTTATAGCTGTCATCAGGCACCGTGCACCCGGCTCCTGCAGCACGGGCCCCATGGCGCCAGCCAGCAGCACCCTTACCCCCACGGGCCCCATGGCGCCAGCCAGCAGCACTCTTCCCCCCACGGCCACAGGGCCGTGCACGGCCCGGTGTGCGCGCTAGAAGCGATGGCCGGGCCAGGTTGGGCAGTGCATGCGCCTTGTGCCCCAGGCTGTGTGCCAGTGGCTGTGGCCATGCCGCGCATGTGCCGTGCGTCCTGGGGGAAGGCCCGCGCACCCTGGGGGGGTGGGCCTGCGCATGCGCCGTGTGCCCGGGGATGACGCCGCACGCCTGGGCAGCCAAAATGGCTCGGGCCAGCCCTGCTCGTGCCTGGCAAGTGGCTGCATTGCCAGGCAGCCAGGTGGCAGATGCAAGCCCTTTAAACAGAAGCAGTTAAAAGGAACTCACAGCTTCTGGCCCCATGCTAGCCCATTGCCTGGGATGCACGAGCCCTTTCAACTGATTCTATTTAAAGGACTTATGCCTTCCCTACAGCTGTGAAGTAACAGCCCTGAGGAAGGCACAAGCCCTTTAAACAGAAGCATTTGAAAGGGCTCTAGCGCCCCTGACTCTCAGGCAACAGGCTAGCAGAGAGGCTGGGAACAGCAAACCCTTTCAATAGCAGGAATTAAAAGGGCTCACAGCTGCCATGCCTGGCTAACATGATGCCTGGGAGCCGCAGGAGAGGCTCGAGCCCTTTCAACTCCTGCTCTTTAAAGGCCACCCTTCTGTCCAAGGCTCTACCCCTTCCATCCAAGGCCCTGTCCCTTCTGGGGCAGCCCATGACAACTTCAAATTTTTTTGAAGTGGCCCTTGTTCAAAAATGATTGCCCACCCCGATCTCGATACACGGAATTGCCTAGACTTTATAGTGACAGGCAATCTCTGAAATGGCTTACACAGGCAGATTGAACTGGCCATGGACAGCTGCAAGTTTCTTTCTGTTGCTGTTTTATTTAGGTTTGTGGCACGCCCGCGCCTTAAATACACAACCTCGAGAAGGGCCTCATCCCGCGTCCAAAGCCTGGGGCTGATGGGTAACCAGTCAGGGCCCGGGACGCCAAAGAGCCAAACTCTCCCTCCTTCCCTCTTCCCCACGGCAGCCACACACCTCGACCGCAGGGGCTCCGGGCCCTCCTGTGCCCAGGAACGGGGCGCCGTCCGCCTGCCCCCCGCTCCAACCGCCGCGGCCTCTCGGTCCCCGCGGGGCGGGGGCGTCACGCGGGTCAGTCGTGGCAGGGGGCACCGCACTTACCTGGCGTCCAGCCCGCGGCCCAGCATCATCATGGCGGCCGGGAGGGAAGGGGAACCGCGGCGCACGCTCCGCTTTCACCCAGTTCCCATGGACACCGCGCGCCGCCCACGGCCCGGGCTGCGGAGGCTGGCCCGCCCCCCGCGCCTGGCGGGGCGAAAGGCTGAAAGCGACGCCGAGATTCCTACTCACAGCCCCGGCAGCACGTGCGCTGTGTAAACCACAAAGGGCGAGTCTGTGTCCTCACAATGACAACTCTGCCCTCTTTCCCCCACGGCCGCACTTCTCTTTGCCCAGGACTAGGTAGCTGCGACATCCCGCTGGCCCGCCCGTGAAGGATTCCTTCGGAGCACAAACTTGGCAGCATTCCTGGGCAAGCGCTATAGAGCCGTGTGTCTCCGGGCTCGTCAAGAGCCTCGAACTAACCCTGCTTTCAGAAATGGCTTCACGCAATGCACCTCACCCAAAGCCCACTGAAGCCAAAGGAAAGATTCCCCTGACTGGGCTAGGACGCTTGGATCAGAAATAACACGGGAGGGAAATGTGATCCCTCCCTGAGGGATGCTGTGAGTCTTTCAGCAAGAGAAAACAGTTGTCCAGCATCACACACTGGAACTGCTTGACATGCCCAAATCAGTGTAAACCTCAAGCACACAAACTAAGGCAAAATTCTGACAATCCAGAAATCATTTCAGCCACTACTTACGTGCAACCACCTTTGGACTTGAATATAGCAGCATTTCAGTGGCTGTTACATCCTGACTATATATGTAGAACATCACTGCATTTACGATAATGGAATAGCTCAAGGTACATTACCACAAACTGATCCACATTATCCCAGAGGTCCACCAGCAAGGACTAGCTTGCATTACCAAGGTCTTACACAGTGAATGTTGTATACATTAGTCTGATTTCCCCCTTTTGACCCAGCACATATTGTTTCTATATTTTATGTATAATTTTATAAGAATGTTCTTATTTATTTACTAGAGAAAGTAAATAAAGTGCTATTTACTTCTCATAACACAAGAAGTAGAGGTCATCAAATAAAATTAATAGGCAGCAGGTTTAAAACAAACAAAACAAAGTATTTCTTCACAAAGCACACAACCTGTGGAACTTTTTGGCAGAGGATGCTATGAAGGCCAAGACTATAACTGGGATAAAAAAAAGAACTACATAAATTAATGAAGAATAGGTCCATCAATAGCCATTAGCCAGGATGGGTAAGGATGGGGACCTTAACCTTTGTTTGCCAGAAGCTGGGAATTAGTAACAGGGAATGGATCACTTATATTACCTCTTCCGTTCAGTTCCTCTGGGGCAATTGGCCTTGGCCATTGTTGGAAGCAGAACAATCCCATCCATTGGATGAAATGGGGCATTTCCTTGGGCCCTGCACTTTGCAGGACCCCGGGGCGGTCCAGGAGGTCTTGGAGGTGTATCAGGAGGCCTAGTGCAAGAGTGAGCACAACAGGCTTTGGGCTTACTCTTGCACTCACCAGTGGCAACAGGAGCCACAGGAAGTAAAGTGACCCAGTCCCACCTGCTCTGCTCCACCATCTCCCAGCCAAGTCGCTTTGTTTCACTGTGGTGGCAGGAAGTGAAGCAACCTAGCTTCAGTCTGCTCTCCTTCCATAAGTGACATGTCTGGGAGCCAAGTATCAGAGGGTAGCTGTGTTAGTCTGGATCTGCAAAAGTGACAAAGAGTTCTATGGCACCTTTTGAACTAACAGATGTATTGGAGCATAAGCTTTTGTGGGCAAAGACCCACTTCATCAGATGCATGTAGTGGAAATTTCCAGAGGCAGGTATAAATATGCAGGGAAGAGATAATGAGGTTAATTCAGTCAGGGAGGATGAGGCCCACTTCTAGCAGCTGATGTGGAGGTGTGAACACCAAGAGAGGAGAAACTGCTTTTGTACTCGGCTAGCCATTCACAGTCTTTGTTTAATCCTAAACTGATGGTGTCAAATTTGCAGATGATCTGTAGCTCAGCAGTTTCTCTTTGAAGTCCGGTCTTGAAGATTTTTTGCTGCAGGATGGCTACTTTTAGGTCTGCTATTGTGTATCCAGGGAGATTGAAGTGTTCTCCGACAGATTGTTGTGTATTGCCATTCCTAATATCTGATTTGTTTCCATTTATTCTTTTACGTAGGGACTGTCCAGTTTGGGCGATGTATAAAGCAGAGGGGCATTGCTGGCACATGATGGCATATATTATATTGGTAGATGTGCAGGTGAATGAACTAGTGATGGTGTGGCTGATCTGGTTAGGTCCTGTGATGGTGTTGCTGGCGTAGATATGAGGGCAGAGTTGGCACCGAGGTTTGTTGCAGGGATTGGTTCCTGAGTTAGAGTCACTGTGGTGTGGTGCATAGTTGCTGGTGAGAATTTGCTTCAAGATTGGCGGGTTGTCTGTGGGCAAGAACTGGCCTGCCAGGGCTGGGAGGGGGGGCCTGACTCCTGCTGCCAGTGCCAGGCTCCCTGCTAGTTCCCTTGGATGCACTGTTCTGAGGAAGAGTGGGCTGCCATGTCTGTGAGGGGGGCCCTGACTCCTGCTGCCAGTGCCAGGCTCCCTGCTAGTTCCCTTGGATGCACTGTTCTGAGGAAGAGGCTTGGGGAAGGATGGTGTAGGGGGCAGAACGGGGTGGGAAAAGGCAGGCCAGGGGCCAAGCAGGGACAGGGCTTGTGGGGAGGGGTGTAGTGAGCGGTGCAGCTGGGGCAGGTACTGATAGGCTGGAGGTCAAGCAGGAGCAGGGTTTGGGGGAAGAGGTGAAGTGGGTGTGGCTCATAGGAGGAGCAGGGGCAGGAAGAGATGGTGGTAGGGCTTGGGGAGGAGCAGGAGTTGTCCCAAACCCCGCACCTCTCTAGGCATGGCATTGGTTGGAACACAGGATACGGTGCTAGATAGACTTTTGGTCTGATTCCATATGGCTGTTCTTATGTTCCTATTTCCAGTTGAATTATTATTTTTTAAATGTACGGAAGTTTTCTTATATATTTTCTTACATTCTTTAAGTTTGTTGTTATTATATTTGCAGTGTAACTATGCCTACAACCTCTCTGTCTTTCTACCAAATTTGAGGCACAGTAGTATCTAGGTGCCAGACATTATTAAAATGAGCATAAAATGTAATTCCAAATGGTTATCATGGGATAAGAGGGAAGGTCCTTTCATGGATTCATAACTGGTTAAAAGACAGGAAACAAAAGTTAGGAATAAATGGTAAATTTTCAGAGTGGAGAGAGGTAACTAGCGGGGTCACCCAAGGGTCTGTCCTGGGATCAAGCCTATTCAACTTACTTATAAATGATATAGAGAAAGAGGTAAACAGTGAGGGGGCAACATTTGCAGATGATACCAAACTGCTCAAGATGGTTAAGACCAAAGCAGACTGTGAAGAGCTTCAAAAAGATCTCACCAAACTAAGTGATCAGGCAACAAAATGGCAAATGAAATTTAATGTTGATAAATGTAAAGTAATGCACATTGGAAAAAATAATCCCAACTATTCATACAATATGACGGGGACTAATTTGGCGACAACTACTCAGAGAGAGATCTTGGAGTCATGTGGATAGTTCTCTGAAAACATCCACTCAGTGTGCAGTGGCAGTCAAAAAAAGCAAATAGAATATTAGGAACATTTAATATCATTAAACAAGTGATAGAGAATAAGACAGAAAATATCTTATTGCCTCTGTATAAAACCATGATATGCCCACTTCTTGAATACTGCGTACAGATGTAGTTGCCTCATCTCAAAAAAGATATATTGGTATTGGAAAAGGTTCAGAAAAGGGCAACAAAAATGATTAGAAGAGAGATTAAAAAGACTTGGACTTTTCATGTTACAAAAGAGGAGACTAGGGGGGATATGATAGAGGTCTATAAAATCATGACTGGTATGAAAAAAGTGAATAAGGAAATGTTATTTACTTATTCCACAGTATAAGAACTAGAGGTCACAGAATGAAATTAATAGGCAGCAGGTTTAAAACAAACAAAAGGAAGTTTTTCTTCACTCAGCTCATAGTCAACCTCTGGAACTGCTTGCCAGAGGATGTGGTGAAGGCTAGGACTTTAACAGGACTGAAAAAAGAGCTAGACATGGATGTTAGGTCCAAAATGGCTATTAGCCAGAACGGGTAGAAATGGTGTCCCTAGCCTCAGTTTGTCTGGAAATGGGTGACAGATCATGTGAGGATTACCTGTTGTGTTCCCTCCCTCTGGGACCTCGGGTATTGGCCACTTTTGGCAGACAGGATACTGGGCTAGATAGACCATTGGTTTGACCATTATGTACTTATGACTCTGCTACTGTCATTCTCTCTTCAGCAATTTCTACATTGTTTTTCTTCCTCCTCTCCAGCTCTCTCCCCTTCATTTTTGGATTATACAGTTCCCTTGCTTGAACCAGGGAGCCTGACCAATCTATTTCTGACTCTTTTCTCAAGATCAAGAGGTAGCTTCTGGAGCACTTATTAGTTCCATGTTTAGGATTATGTCAGAGTCCCCAGAGTACAATTTCAACTGTGGGACTGTTGAATCCTGTGTCTCACTAACCTAGGCTGCCTGTTACACTGTGATGCTGATGTCAAGCTACAAACTGCTTATAATATATGGAGATATACCACCTCATAGATCTGGTAGGGACCTTGAGAGGTTATTAAGTCCAGTCCCTGCCCTCACAGCAGGACCAAGTACCATCCCTGACAGATTTGTCCCAGATTCCTAAATGGCCTCCTGAAGAATTAAGCTCACAACCCTGGGTTTAGCAAGGCAATGCTCAAACCACTGAGCTATCCCTCCCCCCTTGCAGGTACTGTGCTTACATATACATCCATTAGCAGGGACACAGCCAACTGATTTACATGAATGACCTTCTAGCCATGGGCTGCACATGAAATACTAACAGCCAATCCTGTCCCTTCCACCTGGCGCCTTGCTCCTTCTAAACTACCCTCACTGGAGCTCCGTTTCGTCTTTTGCAGCCAAGGGGAGCTGCGGGAAGTGGCATGGGCTGGGTCATCACTTCCCACGGCTCCCCTTGCCTGCAAAGGACAAAATGGAGAAAATGGGAGGCACGAGGCTCTGTGATTGCAGCACCAGTAAATAAACAAACCGGCCAGTTAATGTGTTTCTGAAAGTGATTTTGCAGAACACTTTCAGAAACACTGCTCTAACCTATCCAATTCCTGTAAGTTTTAGTTTCCGAGTGAAACTCAGGGGTGAAAGTAACTTAAATTTCTCAAGTTACAGTGGGGGAGATCTAGGTTGGATATTAGGAAAAACTATTTCACTAGGAGGGTGGTGAAGCACTGGAATGGGTTACCTAGGGAGATGGTGGAATCTCCATCCCTAGAGGTTTTTAAATTTTAAAATTCTGACAGGTACCT